CCTCCCCCATTCTCAATCTGCCCCCCCACAACCCCTTCCTTTCCCCCTGTCCCCCACACACATACACCTACCTGCTGGGGGGTGTGTGTTTGCCTGTGCCTACTTGTGTGGGGCTGGGGGCTGTTGGGAGTAAGGGGCATGAGCAAGATTGGGGAGGCTGTGGGGAGTGGTGAGAGGGACTAGCAGGGCTGTGGGGGACTGTGGGAGGGGGCTTTAATTTTTATCACAGATTTTGGATTTTTTAATCAGAGAATTTGTGATTATAATTTTTTTTTTTTTTTTTTTTATCAGGGAAAACCAGGATCCCTGCTTATGACTTCCTCTTCCTGCTTCCACGTGCCTCAGGAATTTGTAGTCCACAGTTGCAGCCAGCAGTATATTTGAGTTGGGGAAGGGGTGTTTAACCCCTCTCCCTGGCCTTAGACCCCAGCCAGGGTTTGCCTGGGGGGAAGTCCCCCGCTGTAAACAGCTCCATCCCCAGCTGGGATTGCCCCCCACCCCCATCAGCCAGCCCTCACTGCTCCAGCTCAGGATCACAGGGGCTAGGCTGGCTCTGCTTACTGGAGCAGATAGCACAGCCCAGCCCAAGGCTGGAAAGCATGCTAGGGGACTATGTTTTAACTTGAACCAGGAAGGGGTCTGGGACAGAAGTTTCATAAACCAGTTTGACTCGAATCAGTTAAGTCTGATACTATATTCAACCAGGTTACCGTAACCAGTTTCAGCCATTTTGAAACTGGTTTATGTGCACTGAACTTCTGTTAAGGTTTAAAACAGTTTCTGATCACTTAAACCGGTTTATGTGTAACTTATGTCCCTAACTGGAGTATGAGTAAAGCTTCTGTGGGAAGTAAGGAAGGGGAGAAGCAAATGGAAATGAAACTCATCTTTGAAAACATCCAGGGAGCAGGATCAGCATCACTAGCGATAGATAAGTTTATTTTCAAGCTTCTAAAAAGATCTGAGAAACATGGTATGGCCCCTCCCAAGTTACTTTTTTGCATACCTGTGCCCTCAGAGTTCCACAGATATTCCCAACCTTTGTAACTTGTCCTTTATATAGGAGCTCTGGGAGCTGTGGAGTTCAACCCTTTTTTGGGGGATGGGGGGAGCAACTTGTTTAGTTTTCCAACGAAGAAGGTGTTTAAAAAAAAAAATTAGACATTGACATGTTTTTTGCTAGGCATTCCCCTACATTCAAGGAAAGGAGGATTAAAATATTTCTGTATTAATAATAGTCTTACTGGATTGCAAATTCTCATATAAAATAGAAGAAAAGGGAGGAGGAGTTAATCAATTAGGTGATATGTTTGTTAGGCCTTATGCTAGTTACTTTGTGCTGCAGAAACTGTTATGTTGTGTAGCAATCATTGACTTTATGCTGCTGTACCTGAGAATTTTTGGCCTCGGTGCTGAGATCTCTTTTATGTTTACTTAGTGGCTTCTGCAGCATTCATGCAGTATTAATTTTCTTCCTTAAACTTTTTATCAATTTCCTGAACTACACTGACTCAGTAAGTGGGTAAAAAGGAGCATATTGTTTTATGTTTACTTTAATAGTATGAGAAGTAGCCAAGCAAGAAAACTTGGTTTTCCTGGGTTTTATTTACTGAAGCAGGTGTAAAAAAAAAAAAAGTTTAGATGTCTTTTGTTTGCCAATCCAGCAAACCAGTTCATGGTGCTGTCTATAAAATGGAGGAAATTTATACTTCTCCTTTTGTGAAGGACTTTCAGATCCGTAGCTGAAAAGTGTTAGATGAGAGCAAGGAACTGTTATTTCTAGGTACTACTAGAAATCTGTGAACATTACTTTGCATCCCAAAGGTTGGAGATGGATGGATGCTTCCAGGTGAACTCCTACAATGCAGATGAAAACAGATAATCAAACATTTCAAGGCTAAATCAAATTGGAGTAAACAGACATATTAGAAATAAGAAGAGAAGATCAGAAATAGAAGGGGGCGAGAGGTAGTAGAATTAATGTGTATGATAAAGTAGGGAAGGAAGGAATTTTCAGAATCCCTTTT